GTGAGTTGTTTCGCCGCGCATTGCACGTCCACAGGGCGTTTACGACCGGGCGCTATCATATTTCAACGCCGCGAAGATGGAACTTTAAGTTAAAGCTCTGCTTTAGAGAGAGACAAAAAAAAAGAATAACATTCCGCGGTTTCATTGCGATACGGTTTTTGGCCTAAACATACAGGTTTTGCCTTTCCCATCCAAATGGAGCCGCCGCAACCCTCGTGCTCACACTTTCACCAATGATCGTATTTTACACTGCACGAGATTGCTTTCCGGAGTGAAATGCAGGAAAAAATATGCCGAAAGCACAGAAATAATCGTGATAAACTACCGAGAAACATACCTAGTATATATATATATATTGTGTAGATGAATCTAGTTTTCGCTTTTTACGTCATAGGAGAAATTTCTTCTCTGCAAAACAAGCAGCCCGAAGTATGGTTATTCGGAAATTAAAAAAAATCTTAGCAAGCGTTGATTATATGAAGAGCAAAGCTGATACATAATTTACCAATAAGCCTACTGGAGAGAAAAAGGAGAAGAAGAGAAACCAAATAACCAAACATTAAATGGTAATCCATGTTGCTGTCACCGTTAGGAAGAAGATTTCTGTCAAACAAGTAGGGTCATTGAATACCCATACGAAATAAGGGAAAAGAAAAACTTTATGATACATTGATACAGCCGTACATTTGTAGGAGTAATGTAGAAGAATAAAACAAAAATATTAAAAGTAAACAAAATTAGACTAAAACAAAAAAAACTGGAAACAAGAAGCGCCCGAGAAAGCAGAGGAAGTAAATGTGACGATATTGTTGGACATAGTAGTTTTATACAGCATTGCGACGCAGGAGATAAATACTAACTAAACGTACACTTAAAGCAAAGTATATAAATTCACGCAAGATGGCGACGGGAAGCGGTAGTCGAAATTCATTCGGGTGACTAATTTTTAGGACAACAAGTGGATATTTTTCGGGATTTGGAGATCAGAATTGGCATAATGTACAATAATTATTTACTTTCCTATATTGTTATATTACTAGTAACGAGCTTTTGAAATTTAACAAGGACAAAAAAAGATAAGGGAAATTGGCAATAAATTATTCTTTTGATTAGGATTGTAAAAAAATATCGGCAAGTAGAGAAGAAAATATCAGTAATCTAGTGAAATTAGCGGTTGATTCGCGAAAGATTGAAGTGAGAGGTCAGAGAAAAAAAATCATGTACACTTACACAGTAAATCCAAAATAAGAAACTAAGGCTGACTTCCTTCGCTAGAAGCACTCGAAAAAAAAAAACCACGAGAACAGAAACTCACGACCGAAAACTCACTTCATTTCCAATGCCTCCAACCAACTAGCGAACTAAGCCTCTATCGAAGCACAAATTAATCATGATAGTCACTCATTCCCTCTTTCTCTCACGGATTGCCGTTCAGTTCTTTTAGTGCGTGATGTGTTTTTGTGCTCCTAATTTTAACACCACTCGAAACGGGACGGAAACAGAGCAGCGCGCTCTCGCGTAAATGATGTCAATTAGCAAAGCCCGCGCGCTACTGCTCCAAAGTGTGAGCCATCAATTTATCCCTAAAAATGGTCTTCATCGTTTGAACAGAGCAAAAGAGCGCACGCAACCATTTTTATAGATCGCAGGAGCCCATGCTAATTGTTGAAGAAACCAAACTGGCCCTTTATACGCAGTAGACCATGAAATCGCAGATGAAAATTTCCTTGTGCCGAAGATGATAAACAGAAGAAAAAGAAAACAAATAAACATGACCAAACCTCCAAACTTCCCCCTAAACTCTACTATCTACCTTCCTAGAGGGACTGTAATCTATGTCAATGCCAACTAAGACCTGTTCAAAAAACAACTAGATGTACTAAAACAAATCGAAGAAAAGCAAAAAAAAATCACCGGCTCTAGCGCACACGGAAAACGAGAGTAAGTGAGAAAAGTCAAGCTCGATGGAAGCAGAAAAACAACATCAACTGTTCAGTATTTTTATGGTTTCCTGATACGCATAATTTAAGGTATACACACATACACAAAATCAACAACACTAGAACAGGAAAAAGAACCCTGCTCACAAGAGGGAGGAAACAAGTTCATCACCAAAGCCAACCCCTACCAACAACATCATCATCATCATCGTATTCACTTTTCATCCTGCAACGAGAAAACCACACTGACACACAAAACATTGAGCTAGGAAAACGTTGGAAGAAAAGCGCCAGATCATAGCAGGCTAAGGCCAAGCACAAAAAAACCAGAAACTATGGAATCGAGTGTGACAAGCAGGCGAACATACTTTCCAAACACACAATTATACACACAAGCATAAACACAAGATTGCTACAGAAGAACGCAACCAAGTGAAGAAAAAACACAGACACACAAATCATATGATATTATACTGTACAACCCAGAAAAAATGGAGAAAAAATTAGAAAAAAATATTAAAAAAAAAGAAAGAAAAAATAGTCATAATAAACATATTTCGTAAATGTGCTTTAATTCTGCTGGTGTCGTTTCAGTGCCATTTCCTAGCACCATTTTATCCGAAAATTTTCCGTAGGATATCTCAGGTTATTCGAACCGAAAGGATCTCCACTCGAAGCATTAAAGTGGTGACCCGGAAACCGAAGCAAACGTTTATCCGAAAGCCTCCTAACTTAACCGCACTTACCTAAAACACACAAATGGGATACAACGGAAAGGGCATTCCTGAACAGCGCATAGTGGGACAAAATCGACAAAAACTATCCGCACTACACCTTCTTCTTCAAAATTAAAATCCATTGCTGGTATGGAAATGTATGGAAAACAAATCTTTCTTCCCGATTTATGTGAGCGTCTTTAGTGGGATACCTGTATGAATAAAGAGAAAAGGATTAGTAATTTCCATTTAATTCCAATACCTTAATTGCTACGCGTATTTCGTCTACAATGTGCAGACAGAGTCTTGTACTCGACTGAAGAAACCATCGCAACTTCCCGAATAGATATTAAAACTAGTTATATTTTCCTCTTAAGTGAGGTTGGTCTGATGATAAGCAATTAAGGTAGTGGAATGAAATTAAAATCATAAAATCCTTCTCTCTTTCTTTATAAAGAATTTACCATTTTACCTACGAACTGTTCGCCAGTTCCCCTGACAGAAATTGATGATATTAATGTTGCTTCTCACAGACTTGGCAGGTAGGCCGTGCTTTGAAAATGACGTCTTTTTGTTTTGCTGCGTCGTTTTCGTTCTTGTGAAAATCTTTTAAATTTGCCATTTTAAGCAGCTTTAATTAAAAGTATTGAAGTGGTGCTGAAAAGTGCATTAAGTGATAGTTATCAAATCCCTCTCTTTTCGTTGCGACGCAGGTTTTGGTTGAAAATCGGATTCGGTCCCCTCTCCATGGATAAGACCAAGTAAGCAATTAACGCTAAAAACTCTTCTCAGTCCGACTAATTCACCTTCGAATAAAAGAAAATGTGGCGGAATATGTCCACATGGTGAAATCCCATTAAAATCACCTCAAATTACAGACAGAACGTGGCATGCCTGTGATGGCCTCTTTCTGTGTGCGGTTCGTTGAAATTCTGGAATGATGGTGGTGGTCATAAAAGCTCATTAGCACGAGCAAATGGGATTACTCAAAATTCATATTTTATGCCCACATACTTGGAGCTTCAAGTAGTAAAATTAAAACCACCGTCCAGAGGTGCTCTTGGGGGAGAAATTATTCCCGACTTGATTTTATGTTTCTGGAGATGGGAAAGTTTAATGGTACGCAAGAAGAAGTAACTATCCTGGCAGCAAGGAATGTATTATATGGCTATTTGTCAGCAGTTAAAAAATTTCCACTTTAATTTCGAAGCAAGAGAGCATGTATTAAGCACATCATGGTGCACCAGAGTCAATGCTATAATAAGAGTCCCGCCAAGAGTGAAGCCAGAAGTACCAATCGAACTGTCAAGCGGGGTACACGAAACAATTATTTTATTCATGTGTTTTACTTATACATTTTTGCCAAAACATCAGCCTTATACATTTCATAAGACAAACCACATAGGTCCTATAAGAATGCATAAAAGGTATGTGTGACCGCTTATACATTTCATTTGACACATGATCTTCATTAACTTTTTGCAAGGCGTCTGCTTATTAGTTAACTTATACATTTTATGAATAATCAGCAATAGAAATTTGCCAAAAGGTATAAGGAGATTTCTATCCGTGTACCAAACAAGCAAAGTAAATAAACATTATTGTTCCACAGCCAGTGAACTACAAGTATTGCATTCTTTACTGACAATATTTAGTAATTTTAGATGCAAAACATTTTAGCCGGCGCCGGTGGTGTAGTGGTAAGCGTGACTGCTTTCTAACACCCCAGTGGGTCTGGGTTCAATCCCAGCCGAGGTCGGTGGGATTTTTCTGAGGCATAAAAATCTCTGGTCACGTCTTCCTTCGGAAGGGAAGTAAAGCCGTTGGTCCCGGCTCATGTGTGTTGTGAATGGGTGCGATATCCTACGCAGGTGTGGAAGCTGCCTTCCTGCACATTCGGTTGCCGTCAATGGATGGCAATCGATGTCCGTCGGTGATTGGCACTAGATTGCGGAACAAAGACCGACGTTAAATAAAGGAAAAAAAAAAAAAAAAAAAAAAAAAGAAGATGCAAAACATTTCTTCGCTTTATTTAGTACATTGTGGTATTTATAAGTTATACCAAGCAATTGTTTGAACATTTTTCAAGTTCTATAATTGTTTTTGTCTCCCAGAAGCTCCGTTATCGAGTGAAATTTTTCACTTCTGAATGAAAGTCATCCCATGCTAACGCAAAAAATCTGGTTGCTGTTTGCTCTAATCTATTCTAATCTAATCTAATACAAACGCAGCCAGTACGAGAAAGCATCCTGGAAAATGATTAGGTTAGATGAAGTCTAATCATTTTTCTTGTCTAATTGACGTTTACAGCATATCTGCGATATGATATAAACATCAATACGACCAGGCCTACTGCGTTGTATTTGCCGCAAAGATGATTCTTGGAAATGAATGGGAACATTTCTTGAATCTACAGGGGTGGAAGGATGCGTGGACATACCGTACCAAACGCTCCGAGTTACTATCTGTAGTTGTGTGTAATGTGTAAATATTTTTACAATATTGACGAATCATAAAATAATGCAATGGAAGCACCGACGAACCGACGTGACAGCTCATAGTAGCTACTTTCAAAATCTTGCCCAAAACGCCATATTTAAAATACGTTAAACACTACCGCCATCTACTCATCCGATCGCGACATATCATGAGCAAGGACACGAACACACGTAAAATTTATATTGACTTGGTTTGTGTCTCACCTTATTTGACAAATCTGATCACCCATTGGACAGATCAAATCGCTCATTTGACAAATCGAATTGCGGACAAACGAAATGCTCCAGTGGCATGTCGGTTCGTCGGCGATGGAAGGATCTTACCGAATTTTCTCCTATGTAAACAAAAATTTGGACAGCTCTCACCATATTCTGCTCTTCCGCCGCCGTTAATTGCTTCCTTTGGAATCCCTTGGACTTTTTCTCTAACGCTTCGTATTTCATTCCGTGCTTCGCCGGCAATTTCCTTCCATAGATTGTCCTTGGTTGGTTGGTTTGATGTCCGCCATATGTTATTGAATTGCCATGGTGATCTGGGACGAGGCTCACGTCCAAAGTCGCTGATCCACCGAGCGCTCCGTGTGCGAAAGGAGAATGAAAGAAAGAAAGAAATAAATAAAGAAAGAAATACGAAAGGGATCAGTTTCCAGAAGTGGCAGTTTCATCAGATTCCCCAACTAACCATACTCAAGCAAAGTAAGAATATGCAAGCTATATTGCGAGTATATGCACAGACAAACAGACATTACACTAATAAGTTGTTCATCGAACAAGCATTTAACGGTCAATTTAAAAGTATCGTAGTTGGTAGTACTGCCACCAGTGGCGCGCATGGCTAATTCCCTTACGTTTGACGTTTACACAGTACCGCCATCTGTTCAGCGTACTACCCACCACAGTGTACTCAACAGATGGCAGTAATGTTTTAGCGAAGATGTTTTACATTGAGAAATATTCATTGTGTTATGTCTGTTTGTCTGTGGTATATGGTTACTTGGGTACTCATGTGGCCGTCAGAATGGTTCATCGGTTGCGAAGTGAAGTATTTCTGAAAGTGATGTGTAATATTTCTCAATGTTTTGATTTTATCCTAACGTTACCTCAATGTTATTTCGCAGACAAGCAGACACAGCACATTGAACATTTATTGTAAACCCTACCGCCATCTGTCGTATACACTATGATGGGCAACACACTCAACAGATGGTTGTAGTGTTTAAACGTCAAACGCTAGGGAATTGATTATGTGCACCACAAGTGGCAGTACTACCAACTAAGAAACATTTAAATTGACAATTAAAAACGATTTTGATGAACATTTAAGAGTGTTATGTCTGCTTGTCTGTGATCATACCTTCACTATCACAACTTCGGGTAATCTGCGAAAGTACTTGCATTTTGCTCAGGCACTTTTGATCTAACTGCAATTCCTCTCTCATACTCGAAATGTGCCACGACCAAATTGGCACAACGACGCCCTATACGCTATCTGACCGAAGCGCAGGGCTGGTTGCTGTTTGCTCTGGCGAAACATAAATCACAAACAGTGCTGCTTGTTTGCAACAGAGACGATGTTTTATAAGAGGCGGAGAGAATAAAAGTAAATCTGGTTGCACGGTCAACAAAGTTATTTTGTCTGCAAGGTTTGCAACCCGCAATTTTGTGTTTACTTCGAGTGACTTTAAATTTGAACGAATATCTTTTTAATCGTTTCGGTAGTATCGGTATTCAAACAAAGTATTTGAATAATTAGAGATGAACTAGCCTAAGGCTAAAAATCTCTTTAATAAAGAATTAAAAAAAAAAAAGTATTTGAATAATCATTTTTGACAACACTGAGTGAAACCAAATATACTACCCATAATCGCATATCAGTCCCATCTTTGCTTGATTTCCTATCCATATGGGACTGATATGCGATTATGGGCAGTATACTACATTTAATGGGAATATTTTACATGTCTGCATATTTTTTTCTTTTAGAGTGTGTTCACGGCATGCAAGTTTGTTTTGAATTTTCGTTCGTTTGATACTCGTGATAATCATGGACGCGAAAAGGGAACTCGTGATAAGCTTGTTTTTCAATCATCATAGACCGTGTTCTATTTTGAAGACACTGAAACCACTCGGAATAAACGAAAGATTCATCTTTCGCACCATTAAACGATACAAGGAAACCGGTTCGTGGAAAATCCCTCCCAGACCAGGCCGAAAACGCAGTTTCAGAACTCCGGAAGTTATCAAACGAGTGAGAGAGCGCATTCGGCGGAATCCTTGTAAGTCTGGGCGTAAGATGACCAAAGCACTCGGAATGTCGCAGCCAACGATCAGGAGTATTTTGACAGATGATCTCGGATTGAATACTTACAAAAAAACAGCGGGTGCATGGTTTGACCGGAAAGCAAAAGATAGCTAAAGTTGAAAGATGTCGGAAACTGCTCAAAGGGCACGGTGATTGTGAAATCTCGATGAACATTTCAAATGGTCCTATCTGCTTTGATCGATTCTCTTCATCGACTTTCTCTTTTGATAACCACTGCAATGCAAACAGATTTCGCGCTAATTTAGCCACAAAGGAGGTTCTAATCTAGCGTCCAAAACGCCAAATACGACAGGAAAAGGTTTTGCAGCTGAGTTATTAACGAAAGAGAAAGTCTATGAAGAGAATCAATCAATGCAGATAGGTCCATTTGAAATGTTGATCTAGAAATTCTATTTTCGGATGAGAAAATGTTCCTGCTACAGGATCACCACAACCAGCAAAATGATCGGGTATATGCTGCATATCTTGCTGATATTTCTCGTGACAAACTGGCTGTTCAAAGGTTCAAGAATGTTTCCAGGGTGATGGTTTGGGGATGTTTCTCCAAAACATTGAAAGTTCCATCGACACCAGTAAAATTACATCGATAATGTTTTGAAGAACCACTTGCTTCCCTTCGTTCAAAAGCATTATAAGAATGCACCATACTGCTTCCAACAAGACTCTGCACCGTCCCATCAGGCAAAAATTACACAGGCGTGAGGCCAATTTCCCGGATTTCATTTCGTCGAAAAAGTGACCTGCCTCCTCACCCGATTTGAATTCTCTCGACTTTTTTGCATGGGGCTACATATTAGGCGAACTACAGAATACCAAGGAACTAACCGCGGAAACTTTTAAGCAACGTTTGGTGAAAATATGGGACGAAATGCCTCAAGATATCGTGCGTGCCAGCTGTAACGATTTTCAAAAACGGATGCGGCTCGTAATTAAAAGAAAGGGAGAAAGATTTGAATTGGACTAAGTTAAGACAAATGTTATAGATACACGAAACAGGAAATACACTGAATTCCTGCGCAAAATTCTGCAATCTGCGATTCATGCTTCCTACCCTTATAACATTATGAAGGTAGCATGCAACTTACCTTTTTCCCTCAGGGGCTGCCTACTCTGTCGATCGGGAGGTTACGTTGGGCCCGCGCCGTCGCTCGCTGCTCTCTGCGTCGTCGCAGGCGTCGGGGCAATTGCGGCAGGGATTCTCCTAGGAATCCTGCGAGCACACGTGGTTAGGCGTATTTCTTTTGGTTGCGGCGCACTTTTCGGACAGAGGTACGAAATTTGATTTCACCACTCGCGCACTAATGTGGACCGTTCTAACGGCCTGTTCTTTTCCGGCTTCTCGGACCAACACTAGGAGCTCGAAGGAGGCAATTATTCACTCCTTCGGCTACCACACAACCGACGGACACTTGCGAACTTAGGACTGTGCACCAGCTCGGTGGCAAATAATACGCACGCCACGTGTAGGTTTCGGCACACTTCGTCCGAACACCAGAGTTATGCACTACCGAGACTGGTTTTTGGATCTTCTGGCCAGGTTACAGCCCATTTCACTCGCCACACTCGGCGTCACGCACGCAAAAGGCAAAAATCCGTATTATACTTTCTAACACTCGACTGAATAATTTTGCGCGTCCGTACGGTCACAAGGTTTTCCACAAAAGAGGCCTCCTCAAGCGGTCGAGAGCCTATTTATCTCCTCCCTCGCTCGCAATGGGAGGACTGAACTTCCTTCCACACACGTTTGCCAACCGTTGAGAAGGGGTGGTAGTCGTCTACTCGAGCAGTTTTGGTAGCGGACGGCGCTCAAATCTCGATGAACATTTCAAATGGTCCTATCTGCTTTGATCGATTCTCTTCATCGACTTTCTCTTTCGTCAATAACTCAGCTGCAAAACCTTTCTCTGTTGTATTTGACGTTTTGGACGCTAGATAAGAACCTCCTTTATCAAACTATGTGGTAGAATTAGCGCGAAATCTGTTTGCATAGCAGTGGTTATGAAAAGAGAATCGATCAAAGCAGATAGGACCATTTGAAATGTTCATCGAGAAATAGGCGAGTTTATTTTAAATATTCTTACAATTTCTAGATCTAGCTCCTATCTTACAAACAATTACAATAACAAGTATATTTTAATTTAATGGGACATGTTCTAATGTTACACCCTGTATTAATGAAATATCGATTTCTTTATCGAATGGATGTATCTGTTTATGAAAACAATGCATTTGCTCGTCGATTTGGCTTAACTGGTAGCTCGCCCACGCATGCTAATACCACCATGGGTGAGCTACTAGTTACGCCAAACCGACGATCAAATTCATTGTTTACAAAAGCAGATACGTCCCTTTAAAAAGTAATCGAAAAATCCCTGTTTAGACATTTTTCCCCAAATTCACTATCTTGACAAATTACACCGGAAACGTTACAGGGCATGTGTATATGTTTTTCGTTTCACTGGAGCATATTTCGTGAGAACATAACGAGAATACAACTGGTGAATAACAATAATATTCCAGCCCGGTAAGCTACCTTTT